ACTATATATAAAGTAATTTTCCCACGGCACACCTTACACTATGTCACGGCACACTAGTGTGCCGCGGCACAGTGGTTGAAAAACACTGTTCTAGATGATGTCTTCCCACAAGGGAATTTAGCCAGTAATTTAATCAGGCAAACTGTCATTTGAACAGGTTGAAGAAACATTTCATTCCAGAATAAGAATTACTATTAATTCGCAGTATTTAATATTTATAAGATTATAATTGTAGACTCCTAATGCAAAGGGGGCAGATACTAGTCTGTGTAGTCATGAGGAGTTGAGCAGAGTTTAATGATACTTATCTAACATTACGTGTACATGATTTTTCCAGGTAATTGCTACATTATCATCAGCGAAAGCTTTACTATAATGACATCAGACCCTACGTTTTCTCCGATTAGGCATTTAAATGATTCAGTGTGTGGCTAAAGGCACTAAAAACAGATGCCATAGTTTCTCCCTCTTCATCAAAACAGAAAAAAGGTATTGCTTTGGAGTAATGCGTTTGCTGAAAAGGAAAGCAAAATTAATCAGCACAAAACCACAACAGGTTCAATCTAGAGTTTTCTCACTTCTTTTACAACTTTTTTCCCCAAGTTGCCTCCAGGTACAAATGTATTTCAGCTGGCCCAACACGCTGCCAATTTGATTACATTTCTACTTTGATACACTGGATTTGTATCATCAGATATTCAGATAGTCCAGTGCATTGAATGGTTTTACCTGTTGTCCTGGTACCTGTAGGGATGATGTTGCAGAACATCTTGCAGGAAACGCTCCATCAAGCTACTTGTACCCATGCGATTCCTACAGTACCTGGAAAAATGTCTGTGCTGGGAACTATATACATGCTGAAGATAAAGAGAAAAGGGTTATTTTGTATTTGCATCCACTACTGTTTTTTTTCCTTTATAAGAGACAAAAAATAAATTACAGTAATCGCAATTACAAAAGATTATAAGAAAAATAATACTTTAAGCGTGATATTATTTGATGTCATGGAACTTAGAAATACTGGTCAAAAACCAACTGCAGCAGATATTGCTATAAGCTAAGGACAATATACCAAAAAAGCCCCTCCCAAAAAGCAAAAATGAAAACAACCTTACCCTATTTATTGGGGTGGGGTGGGGGGAAAGCAGTGGTACCATGGTGTAAAATTTGGTAGTTAAAGAAGAATAAAAAGATGATGCGGTAAAAGAATCATTTTTGTAATTCTGGTAATCCTAATCCCAACTCTCTAAGCGTTTTTGGCCACATTTCATAGATTTTGCTCTTCAACACTAAACTACATTACCAGCAAGTAAAGTAGGGAGTTCATCAGGAAAATCTCCTAACAATAGCCTTTCCTGTAAGCCATCTTCCAACAAGGTTCAGGTTCAGGTTCATTTTATTTATATGCCGCCCTATTCCCGGCGGGACTCAGGACGGCGCACAAACCCAAGGAAGAGAAGGGAAACACAAAAACTACCACAAAAAGTACAGGGTATTTAAAACAACCAACAGCCACACGATTCGAGAGGGGAAGGGAACTCATCAACCCCAGGCCTGCCGACACAGCCAGGTTTTAATGGCTTTTCGGAAGGCCTGGAGAGAGATGAGGTTCCGAATCTCTGCAGGGGGCTCGTTCCAAAGGCCCGGAGCCGCCATAGAGAAGGCCCTCCCCCGGGT